AGGGCCAGCCCTGATGTTAGGTAGCATGAGGTGCTCCTCTCTGTGTCACAAAAGATCAGAACATTGTTAGTTATTTAATTTACTGCATCTCTAGCATTTTGTACACAGTGTTCAGAAAGTGGATGAGAGGTGGTTCTCCTCTTCATCCAGTGGAGCTGAAAAGGACATTATTTTTTTTAGACAACACACACCTGAACACAATTTGCTAGCACAAGTGAGGGCCATCAACTTGGAGGTCTTGTTTAGACAAGTTAATGGAGGTTAAGTATATCAATGGCTACTACTCCTGATGGCTATGCTACTACCAGTATCAGAGGCCATATGCCCTAGAATACCAATTACTTGGGGAACATGAGTGGGAGAATGCTGTTCAGCTCATGTTGTGTTTGTAGGTTTCTCCTAGACATGACTGCCCACTGTAAAATCAGGATGTTGGACTAGATGGCTAGTGATGTGTAAGGGTACAGTAGACATCTCTGTTAGGGCTTTGCCCTGGATTTGACTGAAGTCTGAACCAGACTGGGCCAATCTGGGTTTAGGCTGTATCTGGATGAGATAGTCTCAGATTGCCCTGTATTGAGTTGGACCACCACAAGTCATCAGGGGTTGTGAGGGTTAAGGTTATATATAGGTGGGTAAGCTGCAGGGGTGTGTTCCCTGTGTAGAATGCCATGGTGAATCAGAACACTCGGCATTCATTCCAGCTGGTTTCAGGATGTTCCTATGCAAGCACCTTCCAGAAGGTAAGCAGTACGTAACAGAATTAAACTTTCCTGTTCTCAGCTGAATGCTCTGCCACAGATCGCTTTTTAGAATATAAGTGTGATATGCAGGGATTTATTTTGTATCCACTGGGATCTTCACTCTGCTGTTATAGCAAATGAATCTCATGTAGTGTCCAGAGCACTGTATAGTCCTGTTGTGTTGGATGAGTTTTAGTTAGTAAGGCTGTGGAAGTGGACAAGACGCTTGGATCAGTCAGGACGACCACTTGTATTCTGGATCCTTGCTCTACATGGATGATAAAAACGAGCAAGGAGGGGATAGGTGGCTGAGCCAGGGAGATAATGAATGCCTCCTTTTGAGAAGGGATGGTCCCTGCCTGCTTGAAGAGGCAGTAGTAATACCACTCTTCAAGAAACCCTCCTTGGAGTCAGAAAATCTACTGGCCAGTTGCTAATCACCCCTTCCAGGGCAAGGTTTTTGGCTGGGTGGTCATAGACCAGTTCCAGGAAACTGCTTGTCTAAATCCATTTTACAAAAAATGATAAATCTTCAATATAACTTTTACAACCATAATTTAAAACAAACAGAAGGTTTAAACCACAATAGTCCAGGGGTCAGCAAATGTTTTCAGCAGGGGGCCGGCCCACTGTCCCTCAGACCTTGTGGGGGACTGGACTATATTTTGGAAGGGGGGAAAATGAACAAATTCCTATGCCCCACAAATAACCCAGAGATGCATTTTAAATAAAAGGACACATTCTATCCATGTAAAAAATGCTGATTCCCTGACCATCCGTGGAGCAGATTGAGACAGAGATTGGGCCGGATCCAGCCTCCGGGCCTTAGTTTGCCTACTCATGGAATAGACTAAAACAAATTACAACTCATACAAACTTTCTATACATCTGTGTAGCTTTGTCTAAATAAAAATGTCTGCACAGACAAGAGACTCTTCATAGTTAGGTAGAGTTTTCTATCTCAAGGGCCACAGGTCCACCCTGCCTGCAATGACCAGTTGGTACAGAAGGAATAAGATTATCATTCAGGTATCCAGGCCCCAGTCTGTACAGAGCTTTGGGTACCAGTGACTGTTCGAGTTATTTTGGTACCTGAGGCAAGAAATTGCACAATTTCTAGGGCTGTGCAAAATTCCACCCTTGCCCCCCAACCTGGGAAGATCCAGAAGAAAGCCAGCCAGGATACAGACCCAAATCAGCTTATGGTGCAGTGGGGTTATTATTGAATTAGTCTTAATTTAGAGTCCAAGTAAATATATGGTCAGATATAGAAACAAACCAAGATGCTACTAACAAGAAATTAATTGTTTCAATACACATTGAAACAGACTTGAAACAGTCTTGAAGCCCATACTGAAGGGAGGTTTCAACCTTGTGGACTTTTCTCCACTCTTAGAAGGATGGGTGGGGAAATCCAAAATTGACTTTTCTTTACTTATACCTCTGTAAGTCCAATACAGGTCACTGGATTCTATTCTAATTTATTGGGGTTTCTATAACTAAGGGTTATGCTCAATCATTTTGTTTTGTCCTTTTAAATGACACTTATTTCTTTAGATTTAGGAGTGTGTATGTATTAGGGTACTAGGATTAAAAGAAACCTGTGACTGTACTGCATTGCACTGATTAGATTGTAACAACTGAGATCTCTTTTTTCCAAGACCACAGTGTAATAAAAGTTTGCTTTTGAAATTCTCTGTGTTGTGAATTTCTTGGTTTGGAATTGTTTAGGCACACATTCAAGGCATCATGTGTTTGACTCCCACAACATATCCACCTCTCACGTGTGTGTGTTTTGGGGTTCATGGGTGTATCATGTATGTACACATGTTCCTAAAGGCACATGTAATATTGGTGGTGGACTACCTGAGCACTTGGGAAATAGTATAGCCACAAATTAACTTGCTAATCTTGTCATCCACTTAATAACATGTCCTTCCTTCCCTCCTTCCTTCAAGTTCAAGTTTATTGCGGCCAAAGCCAGTGACACTAAACATCCCAAGATCAGACAACAAGAAATCAGCAACAACTTCAGAAAAGAAAAAAGGTTACACAAGGGAACTTCGCAGTGTGCCATTCAACAGAAGAGATTTACGTTTCTTAATTACTAAAGTGCAAAATTTAGCCACCTCATATGATACTGAGCTTGAGGAATCTTCCAGGAGGTATTTTCGAAGAATTTCAGGGGAGGATTCCAAATAATATTGAAGGGGTATAAATTTTGATAGAAGCGGTAAAATAAGTTGAGCTCGTTCTTCACTATAGAATTCGCAAGATAGAAGAATGTGTGTGACAGATTCTACCTTATTAGACATACAAGGGCAGAGACGCGCATGCATTGGAACCCGCGTGAATTTGCCGTACAGCACTGCTGAGGGCATTGTCTCAAAGCGGGCTCTAGAGAAAGCCCATCTATAGGCTTCGCTAGTGATGTTGGTTAAGTAAGGGGCAGCTGTAAAATTAGGCCAAGCTTTTAAACATCTATACGTCTCTGGGAGTAGGGCGCCTTCTTGTTGTAATTCGATATCATAAAGTCTCCGAGTAATAGTAGCTTTTGCCTTGTTCAGAGTTCCAATAAAAATATTTTCAGGGTTTAGGCCAATTTGTTTGATCTTGTTAGTTATTTGCATAAGCCAAGGAGGATAGGGAACTGCGGCCAGGAAGCAAGGTAATAGACCCTTAGGATTGTAATGGATTTTCAGCCAGAGGGATATTGCTTGTTCCCAGACTTTTAATTCCACTCTGGGCAGTCCTGCCTCTTGCCTTAAGACTGCATTAGGTGTACACTTAGGGGTAGCAAATAATGATCTTAAGAATTTAGATTGTACTGTTTCAAGGGTCTTAAGGTTGGCAGAGGGGCTAATTTGAGAGCCATATAGAAGTTGGGCTAAAGATTTTGCCTGAAAGACTGTTAGGGCCATCGGGAGGAAGCCAGCTCCTTTCCTTCTGAATAATCTAAGGATAGCATTTGCACTTCTTTCTGCTGATATAGCTGATGTGGTCAAGTGTGCTGAGAATTTGGCATTATAAGAGAAAGTAATGCCTAAATATTGGAAGGTCTTAGTCTGTTCAATGGCGTTTCCCTTTACGCTCCAATTATCCTTCCTGAAGGAGCGGTTAAAATGTACAATTTTGGTTTTGGCAAAGTTAATTGTTAGCAGTTCAGTGTTACATTGGTCACTAAACTTTCCTAAGGCACGTTTCAGACCCACTTTGGTTTGAGAGAGAAGAACAGCGTCATCCGCATACATTAAAATTGGTACTTTTCTGCCATTAGAGAACACAGGGGGGTGGGTTTCAATTTCACGGCAGCATGTGACCAGGGAGTTAACATAGATGTTAAATAGGAATGGGGCTAATAGGCATCCTTGTCTAACTCCTCTTTGGACTGGGATTTCTCTAGAGAGTCTGCCGTCCTGTGCAAGTCTTATCTGGAGGGTATTGTTCTCATGAAGCTTAATCATCAGAAGTAATAACCTTCTGTTAATACCCATATTGGCCAATTTGGCCCAGAGCCTGCTCCTAGATACAGAATCAAATGCTGCCTTTAGGTCCACAAAGGCCGCATATAATGACTTTTTCCAATATTTCGCATACTTATAGACAAAGTAATCTAACACCAAGCAGTGATCAATGGTGGAACGTCCGGATGTAAACCCTGCTTGTTCAATTTCTAGCAAGTTGTTATGATCTAACCATTCCCATAATTTTAGGCATAGATGTTTTGTATAAAGTTTACAGATCACATTCAGGAGACTAATTGGTCTATAATTAGATGGATCAGAGGGGTTGCCCTTTTTAAATATGGGAACAATTATAGCTAGTCCCCAATCTTTAGGGATTTCAGTTGTCTTGTCTATATATGAAAATAGATTTGCAAGGACCGGGGCCCACCAGTTTATTTGCGCTTTCAAAAGTTCAGCGACAATGAAATCACTTCCTGGGGCTTTGCCAGATTTCATTTGTAGAATTAGCGAAGCGATTTCAGTTTCAGATGTTGGGGGCCATGGTGTATCATTATCTAAGGGGATGTTAAGCGGCGCAGAAGGACGATCTTCCCTAAACAGCACTTTATAGTGCTCTTCCCATGAATTTGCAGGGATTATTGTGCCCTCATTAGGAGCTTTGGTTTGACTGGAGATAATTTTCCAGAAATTAGAATTGTCTTTTTCTATTGACGCTTTTATGAGGGCCTGCCAGATGAGAGAGTCTGCGGTTCTTTTTTGGTTTTTAATAACTCTTTGTAGTTCTTTTTTTAAGTTGTAACTCCAATTTAGTGATAGGGTTAGGATTTTGCTGGAAGACCTTAAAGCATTCCCTGAGTATAAGTTTTGCCTGAGTGCATTCGTGGTCAAACCATTTTTTGTTGGTAGGGGAGTCATTTTGGTTAGATCTTCTGGGTCTTGACAATAACGGTTGGAGTTTTCGGATTAATGTGTTATAATGGTCAATTGGGGAGGTCTCTTCAGTGTCGTTGGAAGTCAGATCAGCCCAGAGGAGTTGACCTTCCATTGATTGTGTCCAAATACCAAAATGGTTATTAACATAAGGGGACCATTTAATTCTGGATCTACCTATTTGTTGTAAAGCGCTAGGATCAGGAGTCTGCGGGGCAAGCCCACATCTAGAGGGTTCCCAAAATTCAGTCCTTTTAAGATTTAGGGGTAAATGGTCACTTTCGGTTCTTATATCTACAGTAAATTCAATATATTCATCGAAAAGTTCTTGGGAGACAAGGATGTAGTCAATAACAGAATGCCTTAGGCCTGACCAGTAAGTAAATTGGCCAGGGCAGTCCCCGAGGAGAGGCCGTTTAAAATAACAAGGTTTAATCTAAGTGCCATTAAAAAAGACATGTACCAGCAAAATTGGTGACTGGGTCAAGTGAGTGACGCCTGAATAGGGGCCAATATTCATCATTAGCATTTAGGGGACCCATTCCACTTTCCTTGATTAACTGTTCGTCTGAGTGGCCTAGCCTTGCATTAAAATCCCCACCAATAATTAAGGAGGCAGAGGGAAACTTATTTGAGACAAGGAGAATGCAGTCTTCCAGTTCGTTCCAGATGTTTTTAAGATCAGTTTGTTTCATAAGTGGGTGAATATAAACATTGATGCATATGATCTTAAAATGGGTGGAGAATATTTTAACGGCCAAAATCCATTTTTATCGATTTTCAATTGGATAGGGAGGCTCCTAGATCTGTCGATACGAAGGTGCTCAAACCTCCCGCCGGTCTTCCGCCTTTTGGGCCGATTGAGGCAGGGGAATGGAAAGCAAAGTAATTGTGTAGTTCGAAAGGATTTTGCATCCAGGTTTCTTGGAGCAGGATGATCTTGAACTGTGATACGTAGGTTAAAACGTCTTTGTCCCTTGTTTTCGATTGCCATCCAGCAACGTTCCAGGATAGTAGTAGGGGTGAGAGTCATTTTGTCTCTTCAATAGCATCTAGTGTTTTCCCGGGTCGTGGAAGATGCAACCATTGGATGGTTGAGTCTCCGGTAATGTGATTAGGGCGCCACAGAGATTTCGGCGTGGATTTCAGATGGGCAGAGTAGAGGTGTGTGTTCTGCCGTGACCTGAGGAGATTCATGACCCATTTTTCGCTCCAAGTTAGGTGGAATATTTGCCTCTTTTATGGGCGCTAGATCTTCAAAGTTGCGGAGATAGAGTAATAACTCATCTAGTCTGTCCGTTATCTCTGTTTGTTCGGCTTTTGGCAGATGGGAGAAGGAGACAAGTAATTCCTGCTCCATCGAATTCTCAAGATGAGTAGCCTTTGATAGGAGGGGCATGGGGGTCTCTGTCCAACTAATTAAGTCTGAGGGTGGAGAGGTAGAGCTCGTAGTAGATGGAATGCCCTCATTTTTAATTGCTTTCCTTTTAACTGGAGAGTAGGGAATAAGAGGGCAAATCTTAGTGTTGATAAAAACTCTTGTGATAAAAATTCTATAATTAGTCAGGTAGCTTCGTAAGGACATCATATAAGTTGGAAGCTTTTTAGAATCAAAGGTGAGCAGTATCCTCTGCCTGTGTGGCTTGCTGTAAATGTGGACAGCGGATTTCAGATCGATGGAAAGAGGATCTATGCCCAGAAGCTCAGCCAAATGCCTTCTTGCGACATGTGTAGACGACCAGTTAACAACCTGACCTTTGAAGGGAAGGATAATTAAACAAAGTCTAGTGGCTTGTAACGAAAGATTATAGGAAGATATGGTGTGTGAATCTTCCATAGATTGTTCGTTTTCAGATTTGCAGCCAGTCTGCGGGGTTAAACGTAATAGGGCAGGTACTCTGGGCGTTGGTTCAGCCCTATCCTCCGGTGAAACGTCTACAGGGCTGACATTCACTTTTGGGGATACAAAGGATGTAATATTCTCTAAGGAGCCTTTGATGTCTCTTATATATTTAAAGATACAGTCCACGGTTTTAGCCACTAGGTCTAACGTGGTAGAGTGTTCAAGCAGTAATTCAGAGAGATAGTTTGCTTGTTCTCCGATGCAGTCTTCCGCCTGAATGGGCATAGTTGGAGCTTTTTTTGGGGCCTTTTGGTCTCGTGGTGGAGTTGTTTAAGGAGTTAATGGGTTGTTTAGTGGGTGGTTCCTTCGGTGTAATTTCCTTATCTATTATCTCTGCTAATGGCGAGAAACTGTTCGAGGTCGGAATATTAAAAATGTCCTTTGTTTTTCCATGGAAGAATTCGCTGATTTTGGTTTGCTTGGTAAGGGGCAAACATGCCATTTCCTCTGAGTCCTCCGATTCTCTGCAGCGTTTGCCAACCCCCCTCCTCGCATCAGCAGGGCTGTCTAATTGCTGAGTCATCTCTCCCTTTGCCTCGCTCTTTTATCTTCCCTAAATTTTTCAAAGAGTCGAGGGAGTATTTTCCTTGAAAGTATCCTATTCAAGGAGGAGGAGTGTGCCAAAGGTTATTGGCATAACACTAAGTTATGCTCCGTCTGTACCTCCAGACTTGTGGTGGGAACAGCCCATGAATCTTCCTGTAAGCTCTTCGCAGTATGATAAGATAGTCAATGCGGCTTTAAAGCTCCAAGAAGAGTCAGGAAAGCGGAGCGTGGGATGGAATGGGGTGAGGTGCTTAAAATTATCTGAGCTCAATATTCATTAAAATAGTCTTTAAAAGGAGTAAGAGAAAATAAAAAGATAAAATCAATGGGCTCACATTAGTAGAGTGCTGTCCGCCATCATACCGCCCTCCTTCCTTCCTGATAGGTACAGTGGGATATTATTCAATTGCTGGAGGTGGTGAGATCACACATTTGGAAAACTTGTGGGGGAATCAAACCCTTGTTTCTTACCACCTTTTTTGATCCCTTGCCATCTACCCAGGAAACCAAACCAGAAGTCAAACCAACACACAGTGGACCCTTGTGGACTGCTGTGTAGCATGTTCCTTAGTGACAAATAATTACTTTTTTCTCTAGCTCCCCAAGAGCAGAAAGAGCAGATAAGGCACCAATTAATGCAGTCCCCTTTCCAAAAGAATGAGCAATTAATCACACACAAACACACGCTCTATTTACTCTGGACTTGCTGGTCAGCCTTTGGAGCAGATAGATCATCACCAGAGATGTCTCATGTGCATAGCACTCATAGGCAGCAGATGGAACCGGATCAATTGGCTCCAAACTGATGCTGATCCTGAGTAGAAGAAATTGCTGCTGAAAACCTCAAGAAATATCTGCTGGGATTTGCAGGTGGGTGAAAAAATAGATGAGGGTGTATTAGATTTTTCCAAAACGCAGGTGCGAAATTCTGCGGAAGATGACATATTGCAGACTCCTCCAAGGAGCTGTCCAGCAGTTTCTATCTGCTGATCTGCTTTCTCCCCCTCTCTGTCTCCAGCGCTCCACATGCCTCCTATTGGTGGCTAGATTGTTTATGGGCATAGAGGCAGCATAGAGACTGGTCATCATTGTTAGGATGTGGTTCTCCATCCAGAACACTGGAAACTACCGTATTTTTCGCTCTATAACACGCACCCGACCATAACACGCACGTAGTTTTTAGAGGAGGAAAATCCGTAGGCATGCCACCCGTAGGCATTCCCTCCATAACACGCACAGACATTTCCCCTTACTTTTTAGGAGGAAAAAAGTGAGTGTTATGGTGCAAAAAATACGGTATATATAATACCTCCAGTATCGAAGGTGGCATGTGTCTCAATGCTGGAGAACAGTGGAAGATGGCTGTTGCTGCTTTCAAGTTCTGTTCCTGGGTTTCTCATAGGCATCTGTTTGACTGCTGTCAGAAGACAGAACACTCAGCTTACCACAGCCTGATCTGGAATGGATTCGTCCCAGCATACTGTTGGAATACTGAGGTTAGGGAAGTGGTGTTCCTTTCTAAGGGAGAATATAAGGACATGAGAACTCAGAACTACCTTTCCAGGTCAGACACTGGCTATTATACACATAGCAGTTCATTCCATTTCCCCAGTGTTTCCCTGACTGTTAATTTTCACATTCCATTATACAATGTAAAAACCACATCCAGAACTATAGAAGGGTATAGCAGATGTTTAGCCCTCGTTTCCGTATTATTTGCAAAGGATTTTTTTTTTGTCAGCAAACAGCACAGAAATTAGCACCAAAGTTTTGCTATGTTCAACTATAGTTCTGGAAGTAGCTTTTATGTCATGTGAAAGCTCAAATAGAATGTGGAAATGAACAGTTAGAGAAATGTCAGAGAAATGGAATGAACTGACATGTGAATGCAACTTATGACCAACTAGCTGACTACTCTTTCAGCTGCAGGAAAATGCAGGAGGGGAGAGAATGCTTTTCTGCGCAGGTCTGGTTTGTGGGTTTCCCAAAAGAGTCTGTTTGGGCACTGTGAGAGTAGTACACTGGATTAGATGAGCCATTGGCCTGATCCAGGAGGGTTCCCTGGTCTTCTTTAAGGGGGGAAACAAAATCCACCTCAAAACAGCCCAGTGAGACTGAACATGCCCAGTGGTCACAAGAGTTCTAACATCCTTTTCTGGGATTGTGTGGTGGCAGTGGGGAGATGGAAAACTGGGAGGGGGAGAATGGAGGGGAGAGATGGGTAGCTGGGTAGCTAGGACACAAAGACACTCCACAGAGCAACATTTTCTTCTCTTCTCTTCTATTAACGTCTACAAAATTAGATCCGTCAGAGTGTCACCAAGAATAGATAACTGTGGCAACTCTACTTTCATTTCCAACAACCTTTTATGTGCAGGGAACAAGGGGAGCAGGGTTCAAACAACTGTGAGGAGGGAAAAGATCTGGGTTCAAACTCACCACCCCACATTTATTGAAATATACCTTATTAGAAAGGGGGGTGGAACCAAGGTCAAGGATAGATGTGAAAAGGGAGGAGGAAGCAAAAGTTAAACCTCAGTTGGGCATACAATTTTAAGGCCAGTCTTTAAACAGCACAATAGGAGTGGATGCAGTTTAGTAATGAAGGTAGACAAAGGGGTCCATTCAAAGTCTGCCAGATCTGCTTCTCACAGTGCTGAGATCCACTTTCTTTCACCTGACCCAGTAGTGATGGTGGTGGTGCTAAATAAAAGATGCATTGTGAGGGCACAGCTCCTGCTTTCTTCTTCATGGTCTCCTCCAGAGGCTAACATCCCCCTAGAATCTTATTCAATCTCCTCCTTCAGGAGCTCTGAAGAGTTCCAATGGCCTTTCTGTGCTCCAGGCACCCCATAGGGTTATATTGCCTTTTGGGAAATGGTCTGTTTCTTAGGAAAATGTATAGTTGGTGTGCGGACAAAACTTTAGGAAGAAGGACAGTATATTTTAGAGGAACTGATAAGATGGGAAGGGGCCTAGCTCAGTGATGAAGCATCTGATCTTTACTCAGAAGGTCCCAGGTTTCATCCCCAGAATCTCCAAGTAGAGTTGTGAATTTTCTCATGTCTGAATCCCTGAAAAGTCTCTGTCTGTCAATGTAGACAAGTACTAAGCTAAATGGACACTATCTGACCCAATATATGGCAGCTTCTGATCTTTCTAAAAGACAAAAAAAAACCTACACTAGTTTTCTGAAGAAATATAAAATTGACTTTCTCCTTTCTCAATGAACTTGCATTCCCACACATTTTATTATGGGAATTTCACCCTTTGGTATTTACAGGGGCAGGAATTCAATTCATTCTGTTATTGGCATACAAAAGATGAGGTGAAGTCTATACAGTTCAACCGCCCTGAGATCTTTGAATGAACGGTAGTATATAAATTTAAATATAAAGAGGGGGGAAATAAAGAAAAGACCTCAAAGGGGGAAAAAATGAAAAGGAATAAAAGGAAAGTCAGTGGGCATGGGAGAAAGTAAAGAAATAAAAAAAATCTGTTGGGAAGTTACTTCATTCCCATGACTCCTATTACTATCTCTCTATTTCAATTTGGTTGTTTATGTTTAACCTTTGCAATTCACCTCCTTTCGGAACCTGCACTAGTTTTATTTGTTCATCTATTCTCTGCAACATTCTTTCTCTATTTCTCAAGCATTGATTTGACATACTTCTTTTTTGAGTCTAATAATGTTACAAGGCGTGGTCCAGAGTGCCTTCTCATTCTTTCCATGGGTAGGTTAATATCCAGCCTCTCTTGAGATCTATAAGCAACTTGCACATTTTTATTGCAAACAGTTCTCTGTTCTAATATACAATTAGCTTAAAGGTATGCCCCATTTGCCCCTGATCTTTTTTTTGTTTGTGTAGGGATGTAAACATTTTTAATTCCCTTCTTTTATTCAAAACATGAGGGAGTATGATTGCAAGTCTCTCAATATGGTGTCCATTTCTAAGCAATTTCTCACTTGTCCAGTACCTAAACCTGATGGTTTCTTTGACACACAACTGATGGACTTGAGCAAACTGCACCTTGGATAGTCAGCCTTTCTTTTTTGTGGCATGTATGATTTATTCATTGCTCCAACTATGACTCAGTGTAAGGCAGTAACATATAAATAAATCAAAGACAGGAAACCTATGACCCTTCAGATGTTGGTAGGACTCATCCACAGCCAGCTTTGTCAGTGGTCAAAGAGAAAGGAAGTTGGAGTTCCACAACACCTGAAAAGCCACATATTCTCCATCCCTGGTTCCTCATACAGACAATAGTAAGCTAGATCGGGGAACAGTCTGAATCACTATAAGTCCTGCAATAATGTAGGAACCACTCAGACTGGAGTCTCAGCATCCAGCTGAGAAGAATAACACACAAGACACACCCTTTGCTGATTTCACCTAAAACTGTGAAGCAAGTATCTCATTACTCTCTCCTTTCTGCCCAATTTTCACAGTGATACACAAGGAGGGAATGGTGTGGTCAAACCAGACCATGATGACCGAGTTTGTCCTACTGGGCCTCTCTGAAACCTGGGAATTCCAACTCATCTTATTTGTCTTCTTCCTCCTCCTCTACATGAGTACTCTCTTCAGCAACACTCTCATAATCTTCGCAATTTTCAGGGATCACCATCTTTCAGACTCACCCATGTTCTTTCTGCTGGCTCATTTGGCTTTCCTGGACCTCTGCCTGTGCTCCTTTGCCACTCCAAGATCTCTCTTTGATTACCTTGCCCAGCACCATGTCATCTCCTTCCATGGCTGCATGACACAAATCTTCTGCCTCCACTTCTTTGGAGGCATTGAGATGCTCCTGCTGATTGTTATGGCCTATGACCGGTATGTGGCCATCTCCCATCCTCTCCGCTATGCCTCACTCATGAACCGACGCCATTGCATGGCACTTGTCCTTGCCTCCTGGGCTGGTGGACTCCTCCATGCTACTGTGCAATTGGCTTTCATCATTAATGTGCCTTTTTGTGGACCCAATCAGGTGGACAGCTTCTATTGTGACCTCCCCTTGGTCATCAAGTTGGCCTGCACTGACACCTACCCCCTGGAGGTCATGATGGTCACCAACAGTGGCATTTTGTCACTGGTGTGTTTCATTGGCTTGCTTCTCTCGTATGGATTCATTCTCTACACAGTCTGCTCCCGGGGTCCCTCTGAAGGGACCACCAAGGCTGCCTCCACATGCACCTCTCACCTCATCGTGGTCACCATGTACTTTGGACCTATTATGTTTATTTACTTGCGTCCGTACACCCGGTTCATGATTGATAAGGTACTCTCTGTCTTCTACACTTCCATCACCCCCTTGCTGAACCCAGCTATCTATGCTTTGAAGAACAAAGAGATGAAGGCTGCACTGGGAAGTCTTTTGTCAAGGCTTTCTGGGCAGGTTTCCACTCAAGGCCTGGCCTGCCGTTAGGCAGCTTGCAGAGGCCCCCTGTGACGGCTGACACAAAAAAGCAGCAAACTTTTATTTTATTTACAGTTATTTATGCACACAAGGTTGGGTAAAGTGGACAGGGATAAGTTTTCATCCTTCTCTCCTAATTCCGGAACCCGGGCTCATCCAATGGGGTTGAAAAGGAAGCACTTCTTTACACAGCACACTGCTGAACAAGCGAACTTACTATCACAAGTGAAAAATACACATGGACTTATAAAATTAGCATTTACTTCCGTCAACCTCTCTGAACAGCCCTGCGCCCTAACGGTGATACAAATCACCCCCTCCTTGCTTATCAGTTTGACCATCGGCAGGGAAGCTGCATGGCTGTGGAGAGGGAGAGAGCTGAAGTGACCATAGCCCCTGGTCAGTTGGCAAAGGATGAATATGGCCTTCAGGACAATGTCTTTTTATATTTAGGCCATCTCAGTCTTTCACTCTGCCAAGCACATCAGCTGTTTTGAAATAGGCAGTTTTAATAAATATATTATTCCTTGACTGCATTGCATTGCATTGCATTGCATTGCATTGCATTGCATTGCATTTATACACTACCTTTCTGCCCAAACACCAAAAGTGGTTTGAAATTTTATAGAAACCATTGGTTTATTCCTTGGGCATTTCAGTGGTTCAGGTTACTTATTGCAAGTGCTGTTGCTTTACTCCTAGAAGATATAACATGCTGTCACAACAGAAAGCCCACAATCTTTTTAGCAGACAGCCCTAGCTGTACACAAACTCTGTTTTCATGGGTGAACATGCACTTTGACAGCATTCCCAAGGGAAAATTCACCAGTATTTTCTTTTGTGTCTGTAGGAGTATATTTTTAAAAGAAAATTCTACCTGGACACAGAGAGCCTATTGTTTGTGAAGACTGGGAACTTTTTATCATAGATTCTTAAAATGAAATAAGGAATGTGTGGCAGTACAATCTCTCTTTTTTTGAAATATTTTTTATTTTATAGTTTACAAAAAAAAAAATAATAGGAGGGGTGTAACAAAACAAAGGGCCAGAAGGTTTTGATTGGTCCATTAGGTTTTTCTTTATTTTTAAAGCATTTTTAATGCTTTAAGGGTGGGGAGTAGTTTAATTTTAGCACTATTGTTTCTTGCTTTGCTCCTATTTTTATTATTCTGTTAAGTTATTATATAGTTTGTATTTTGCCTTTTAAGGGGATGGGTCAGGGCTGCCTGGGAGTGGGCCTCAGCCAATAGAATGGCTGGGACAGGTTTCACGGGGGGAATGTATTGGGACACCCGATCTCAGTGATCATGGGTAGGAGGAGGAGTTACGCTAAGACCAGACCATGTCATTACCGAGGAGGCAGGTTTAGTCGTTATTTGAGGACTATCCCTGCCTCCAGGTCTGGTCCTGACTGGAAGGATACTGGAATCAGCAAGGGAAACCCACATGACCTGAAAGTGTTGCTGTGCAATGCCAGGTCAATGATGAATAAAACCACTGCCATTCACGACCTGATTGTGGATGGAGGATTTGACCTGGCATGTGTGACAGAGACCTGGTTGGATGAAGCAGATGGGCCTGTCCTTGCCGCTGCTTGCCCACCGGGTTTCTCTTACACACAGCAACCCAGATCATGTGGGTGGGGAGGGGGCGTTGCAGTGATTTTTAGGAAGTCATTAGTCTGCACCAGGCATCCTATTGGGAAGACCCAGTTCTCTGAGTGCATGTTCTGGAAGTTGGGCAATAGGGACAGTACAGGATTCCTATTGGTGTACTGACCTCCCCGCTGCACCAAGGATTCCCTGCCCGAGCTGCTTCAGGTCGTGGCGGATATGCTCCTGGAGACACCTAGCTTGGTTGTCCTGGGGGATTTTAACATCCATGCCGACACGACCTTACAAGGGGCCGCTCGGGACTTTGTGGAAAGCATGGCCTCCATGGGGCTGTCCCTGAATAAGTTTGGCCCAACTCATAGCCGCGGACATGCCTTAGACTTGGTGTTTACCTCTACGGATGTTGGTGATCTGACATTAACTAAAAGCGAAACAAAAGAAGTGCCATGGTCAGATCACTTCCTGGTGCAACTGGACTTCTCCGCGACCCTTCCCCTCTGCAGGGAGGTGGGACCGATTCAGATGGTCTGCCCCTGCCACCTAATGGATCCAATTGGTTTCCAGAGAGTAGTAGGGGATGTTTTATCCCAAGTTGATGGCCTTTCAGCTGATTCCCTGGTGGCCCGCTGGAATGTGGAGTTAACCAGGGCTATTGACTGTTTGGCTCCGAAGCGCCCTCTCCGATTGCATGGAGCCCGGACAGCCCCGTGGTTTTCCACGGAGCTGAGGGTGATGAAACAATCGTTGAGACGGCTAGAGTGCCAGTGGCGGAAAACTCATTCTGAATCAGACCGGACACGGGCTAGAGCTCAACGTCGAGCCTACCAAGTGGCAATGGCAACGGCGAAGAGTGCCTTCTTCGCTGCCTCCATTGCATCTGCAGCAGGAGAGCAGCAGGAAAACAGCAGCAGGAGACTTTTTCAGGTGGTTTGCAATCTATCGGAACCACCTGCACCACCGGGGCCCCAAGATCTCCTGCAATGCCTTTGCAAAGTTTTTTGCAGATAAAGTCGCTCAGATTCAGAAGGAAGTAGACTGCACCGTGAGAGCAGGGCCAGGGTAGGAGAGTGCTAGAGTTCTGTCTAGTCCTGTTACATGGGATCAATTCCAATCTGTTACCTCCGAGGATGTGGACAGGCTGCTTGGACAAGTGAAACCAACCACCTGTCTCCTTGATCCTTGCCCATCCTGGCTGATAAAAGCGAGCCAGGAAGGGCTGGGCGATGGGCTCTGCGGGGTGGTGAATGCTTCCCTCTGTGAGGGAGCCTTCCCAGACCCGCTGAAAGAGGCGGTCATTAAACCGCTTCTTAAAAAACATCTTTAGACCCAGCCAATTTGGCCAACTATCGCCCAGTCTCAAATTTACCATTCTTGGGCAAGGTGATTGAGCGGGTGGTTGCCAAACAACTCCAAGCACACCTGGAGGATGCGGACCATTTGGATCCCTTCCAGTCGGGATTCAGGCCTCATCATGGGACTGAAACTGCCTTGGTCGCGCTGGTTGATGATCTCCGGCGGGCTAGGGACAAAGGTGAGAGCTGTTTCCTAGTTCTGCTGGATCTCTCAGCGGCGTTTGATACCATCGACCATAACATCCTTCTGGACCGTCTTGAGGGGCTGGGAGCTGGGGGCACTGTTATACGGTGGTTCTGCTCCTTTCTCCTGGGCCGTGTCCAGAAAGTGGTGGGGGGGGGGATTGTTAGGATATTTCCGTTCCACCTTAAAAGGGAGCAGGCTTTGTGAGTCAGAGTCTGCGTATTTCCTGTTCACAGGATGTTTATGTTTTCTGTTGCTTTCGTTTTCTCTCTTGTGTCGCAGACACTAAAGCAGGCAGTCACGTTTTTCTGTGTTCTGATCAACGCTGAATAAACTTGTAAATAATGCTCTCCTGATTGCAACTTTTGGCTGTGCATTATCTGCTGATAGAGTGTGCATGAGCTCTGGAATGTGGCAAGAAATCTTCTAGAAACTCATGTCGCTAATTGATGATACTGCGTGCCTACGGGAGGTCGATGGATCGTCCGGCAGACGGCTTGGGGCCATGATGGACTTTATCTCCCTGGCAGTATCCCAACAACAGGTTTCGGGCCCAGATTCACAGCACTTACAGGAGAGTAAGACTGCGACAGACTGCTGAAAGGTATGTGGAGGAAAAGCGAAAGTGAGGCTTTTCGGTTTGCCGAGGCAAGGGCCTTTGAACTCCGGCAGATTAATGGATCTGGGAGACGCGCCAAAGGCTTCATGATTAATGAGCTGCTAAGATAAGGGGTCTCTGAAGTGAATAAGATTCACGGCTCAAGTAGAAACCTGGAATGGAGTTTTTCCACGCTTCTGAGGCTGCTGAGTGCCCAAAGTTGAATCGGCACAATTATGGGACCTGGGCTGTGTGGTGTGAGAGCTTGCTGCGTCAGTTTGGAGTGTGGCATACTGTGTCTGAAGCCCCTCCAGTTCCTCTGACAGATAGATGGAGGGCCGCTAATTCGAAGGCCGTTGACATAATAGTCTTGTCCGTCTCTCTGGAGGAAATTAAAACGTTAGCTGGCAATCTGACTGCACGAAAGATGTGGCATGCTTTGAAGATAGCCCATCTGCCAGTCATCCCAGCCCAGAGTTTGACTGCATCGGAGGTCCTGGCTGTTTCCCAGAATGCGAGTGAATGCAGGGATGCTGAGGGCACCGGTTGCAAGCTGCTAGGGGAGCTGATTGTCACGTCATCCCAGGCAGCATTCCAGCCTCCAGGGGGAGCCAAGGAGTCGGCAGCTGAGAACTCTGTTTCTCGTGGGAGCCAAGGTCATCGCCTTTGCAGAGGCCGGAAGGGCAAAGGTAAACAGAGGCAGACGCCTGCAGATGGCCGGAAGCAGAGGGAGGGTGAAGAGCCCACGCCAGAGGAAAACAAGGTTTTGTTTGCTGGCACAGCCTCACCAAAGGCTAAAGGCAAGTCTGATGGCCAGGAGCAGGGGGGCAAGCTGCAAAAGCCCACGCCGGTGAAAAACAAGGTTTTGCTTGCTGCAAAAGCTGCTCCAAAGGCCAAGGCCAGGTTTGTTGTTGATTCAGGCTGTACCCGCCATGTGTCGAAAGACCGCCATCTCTTTATCTCCTTCAAGCCTCAAGAAGGTGAGATCCACCTGGCTGACGGAAAAACGTTGCGAATCGCAGGAGAAGGGACTGTGAAACTGGCAAGTCTGCACACGACCATCAAAGATGTACTATATGTTCCAGGTGCTGCAGACAATTTGCTCAGTGTCCCACAACTGACTGGGCGTGGTTTTGAGATTTCCTTCAAGAGGAGCGTCTGTGTCATCAGAAAAGGCAAAGAGGACATTTTGCATGCAAAGTTTATGGATGGCTTGTTCTGTATAACTTATGACGACAATGGTGCTGTTGTGTCTAATGCTGATTCTTGTTGTGTTGCACAAACTAACAAAGTTCTTCATGCAGGATGCATTCATGATGCACACAGAAGATTTTGTCACATGTCTTGGCAGGCACTGGCCAAGATGCCAGAGATGGTTGAGGGTTTGAACATCAAACCCTGTAAGTTTCACATGAAATGTGTATCTTGTGCAGAGAACAAGGTGAAGGTTGCTCCAAAAGGCAAGGAGTCTAGCAGGCAGGCTTCCAAACCCTACCAGCTAGTGCACGCAGACCTGGTTGGTCCACTTGCGCCCTCTTTGGGTGGAGCAAGGTACTTCATGGTTCTAATTGATTCTTTTCCAGGTACATTCATGTGTTTATGCTCGAGCAGAAATCGCAAGCGTTTCCTAAGTTCAAGGCATTCTGTGCTTGGTTGGAGAATGTTCAT